TTTGTTCATTTGATGCATCAGCGCAATTGTGATTTCTGTGTGTGTAGTCTTTCTTAGTCTCGTTCAAGCCTTTCTAGATCGTTTATCAAGCCTTTCTGTAGCTTTTCTAAAGATAAAAGCTTTTCTAAAGCTTTTATCTAGCCTTTTTAGTCTCGCTCCAGCCTTGTTTACCTCATATATAATATATTGACCTCATATATATAATATATTGACCTCATATAGTATAATGACCTCAGATATACGTATATTTCGGAGCGCACAGTCTCCAGAGCTGCATTTGTATTCTTGCTGTAATACTTCTAAATTCTGTAATCCAACAATACAGAATTCGACGAAATCGTAAGTAAGAAGCTAACCCGCCATCTGACCGAGGATAATCACGCCCCGGAGGTGGAAAATCGGTCCCCGAGAGAAGACATTGTAGTGTATTATAAAAATGAATTTACTCAGGCATACAGGAAGGCTGAGAAGGTCATACGAGGCATAATTGAGAGGAATTGCAAACCTTGCAGTGAAAATGCCAGGATTCGTCCTGGCATTATAACAACCCTCGTTTATCTTCCCTCATTATGAGAAATAACATCTCTGCCTCCTCTGACAAGCTGAGGTGTACTAATGTAGTGTATTGCACAACTGAGGTGTACTAATTGTAGTGTATTGTACAACTGCAGCTCTGGAGACTGTACGCTCCGAAATATATGCTACATTGAACACACCAGGAATACATTGAGTAGACTTACACTTCATTTGCAAGACGGAGGTATTAAACAACATCATTCTCATCACCACAACACCATCCTGAATCACCAAGATATAGTGAAAGATACGACAGTAATCACACGCACCAATGAGGCTTCGTATACTGGAGGCTGTGCCATTCAGGAGCTGATACTAGTAGTTAACTTCCATATGAATTCAACTTCGAGCATACATCTGTTTGATGGTCCTCCATTGACCCAGAGGGAATATGTAAGACCTGGCGGACAACTAGAAGCCAGAGTCAAGCAACAATCACCTCACTCTACCCTTATAAGTGTCTACATTTCTCCTTGTAAGCTCAGTATAGCTCAGTTCAACAATATACTCCTGAAGATGCCACATTGCTGACGAAACCTCGAACAATACAAATGGGAAGATTAAGTGATCTAGTGTTTCTTCACCCTCCAGATGGTTGAAGATATTTGCGTAGAATGGAAAATATCCGAAAGAAAATCAATAATAGTAACAAAGTTTAATGGTATGTGTATTAGAGAAAACCTGCTATAGAAAGAAAACATATATATATATATATATATATATGTATATATATATATATATATATATATATATATATATATATATATATATATAATATATGTCGTACCTAGTAGCCAGAACGCACATCAATTAATATATTTTCTCTAATTTTTTTCTTATGAAATGATAAAGCTACCCATTTCATTATGTATGAGGTCAATTTTTTTTATTGGAGTTAAAATTAACGTAGATATATGACCGAACCTAACTAACCCTACCTAACCTAACCTAACCTATCTTTATAGGTTAGGTTGGGTTAGGTAGAAGAAAAAGTTAGGTTAGGTTAGGTTAGGTAGGTTAGGTAGTCGAAAAACAATTAATTCATGAAAACTTGGCTTATTAGGCAAATCGGGCCTTGCATAGTAGGCTGAGAAGTGAGTTCTGGCTACTAAGTACGACATATATATATATATATATATATATATATATATATATATATATATATATATATATATATATATATATATATATATATATTTATATATATATATATATATATTTAGGTCCTCTTACGGTTATCTGACATTATCGCCAACGGATCGTGACAATACGCGCCAATGTACACGAATGATGAAATCATACCAACCATTATAGAATTACGCAAAATTATACCAACCGCCCAGCTGCTCAATCGACATTAATTTGCATGTGAATGAGTCAGCGAGCCAGCCTTGGTCTCTATATCTGACAGTGGTTTGGTTTTTCTCAAATTCTGATTCTAAAATTGTGAAAAAGGGATTTTTAAAGAAGCTTTTCTCGGATTTTTTTTGTATTTTATTTCGCTATTTTAATCATGCGAAGTATATACATAGATATATTTGGTATATATATTTGTTCCAGTTGGTTGTTTAGATCCGATAAGAGCATCGAGGTAGCTTTCTGGGGAAGATAAGCATGGTAGGGTGGTCTGTGGGAAGTACATAGACTTTTTACTGGATCTTTTTACTGAATCTTTTTATTTGATCTGTTTACTGGATCTTTTCACATGATCTGTTTACTGGATCTTTTCACATGATCTTTTTACTGGATCTTTTCACTTTCGCTGTAATACACACAGGCTAAAAAATTTAAATGACACACATAAAGAAGCAAAGAAAACACTGAAGAGGAGCCTTTTTTGCATATGGTACTTTTGTGATGGCATTTGGCACCAATGTAATGGCTTTTGGCGCCTTTTGTTAGTCTCCAAACTAAATATTCCGACCATTCAAATACGAAGGTCGGAATTGGGCAAAAAAGGTCGTATTTATTTGGTCGGAAATGGGTAAATGGGTTCTTTCGGATGTTCAGTTTTGGTATCTTACAAAGGTGTCATATGCCATTACAATGGTGTCATATGGCAATAAAAGGCTCCAAATACGAGTTTTTATCCATTTCCAACCGAACAAATACAACATTTTTACCCAATTTCCCCATTGAATAAATACGACTTTTTTACCAAACAAATTCACATTTCTTTACCCATTTCTGACCGAATAAACACTATTTTTTTACCGAACAGATACGATTTTTTTTTACCCATTTCCGAGCGATTGCGTTGGACGGTGTTCCAAAGTCCAATCGAGTCCGACCATTGGACGGGATTATCTGAAAGTGGGTTCGATTCCTGTCGCAGACAAAGACCAAATGGAATAAGCCATGTTGGTGCTCACGGGCGCTTAAGAGTACTCAGTGCTTAGGGAGTGCTTGGAGAGTGTACATTGAGCAGTTTACAGTGTCTGAGCAGTTTACAGTGTCTGAGCAGTTTACAGTGTCTGAGCAGTGTATAGTGCTTGTGTAGTGTATAGTGCTTGAGCAATGGTTTCAAATATGTAGACCATTGCTACCTGAAGCAGTGTAGTAATTAAGAGGTTAATGTGGTTGTCTACTGGTCAGTGGTAAATAGATTTTGTAAGTGTTGTACTTGCAATATGGTCGTGGTGCATCTGTAGATTTTATTATTTACATTTACACTTAAATGTAAACAGTGGAGAGAGAGAGAGAGAGAGAGAGAGACAGAGAGAGAGAGAGAGAATGACACTCTCACACTTAATCAGACTGTGTTGTATGTATGAGTGATGTATACTACACACATACATCTAGTGACAAATATGTATACACATAAGACAATATACACATCCACAAACAGATGCCATCACAGATACAATGTCATAAACACATTCGCCCATTTATACACACAAAAACCCACTCAAAAATTAGAAAGAAGAGAAAAACATAACGTTGACAGGACGTATTAGTTTTCCGCATTAGGCTGTTTACAAAACAAAGTCACATTTCTATTGGCTGGTGGCTGGAGCAGCTGGCCAATGACCTCTTCCGGCTCGTTTGCAGAGTCATTGGTCCTTAACGGTCCAATGAGGTTGTTAACGACTAGAGAACAGCAGGGGCTAAGAAGTTTTAAAGGGATATTTTTCTGTTTAATAGAGAAAACTGAAAAATACTCCAAGAAAATTGCTACGAGACCTCGAGGCTACGAGACCTACGAGGCATGGGCTACGAGGTCTCGTAGCCCTGGAGTGACACATAAACTCGTAGTCCAGAGTTATCTGTGTCTCGTAAATCCTACATTAGACATTAATTGGCCAGTTGTTCGAGGCAAGTTATCCGCAATCATTATAATTGGCACCACATCGGCAACTCTCCATGATACCTTTACGATATATCTATGAGAAAATTTGAAGGGCCATGAAACGGGATCGAACTCAGGAGGCTGTACTCTACGCCAATGCTAACGTTAAAATCAAGTTAAATCAATATCTGACCAATATCTCGAGGATGGGTTATATGAAGACAAGGTTGACATTTTTTAAGATCCTTGGTAATTCCTTCGTCTGGTCCCCATGGGGGTTTATTTCCCATCAGTCCCCCCTTAACTGACTTCCTTATTTATGTCTCCTTAGATCACCTTCTGACCTGTTACCAAGATGCAACCCACAACAGTCATCTGACTCCCGAAGTGCCTATTTGTGAACTTAGGCATCAGGTGAAAGAAAAGGTGCCCAACCGTTTGTGTGTACCGTCCAGGGATTGAGCCCGAGGATGTGCGACCCATTGATGAAAGGCGGGGCCCGGGAGCTGAGGCTTACTCCTGCAAGGACGTGTATTACGTTAACACAGTACACTAGCGGCAGTAGTTCAAGGCTTGGAGAGAGGAGTGTAGTTAGGAAGGGGAGAGAATAGTTTGGAAGGGGTGATGGTCGTTTGGAGGGATATAGAGTAGTTTGGAGGGGTATAGAGCAGTTTGAGGGGTATAGAGTAGATTGAGGGGTATAGAGTAGTTTGGAGGGGTATAGAGTAGTTTGGAGGGGTATAGAGCAGTTTGAGGGGTATAGAGTAGTTTGGAGGGGTATAGAGTAGTTTGGAGGGGTATAGAGTAGTTTGGAGGGGTATAGAGTAGTTTGGAGGGGTATAGAGTAGTTTGGAAGGGGTGATAGTAGTTTGGAAGGGGGTGTTGGTGACTTCGAGGGAAGAGGATACCATTGAAGAGTGAGGATGGTTTGGAGAAAAGGTGGCTACTTGGAGGTGGCTTTGTAGAAACAGTAGTGGCTTTCTCAAGGTGAATGTTGGAAGGACTGGGGGGATTACGAGAGAGAGAGAGAGAGAGAGAGAGAGAGAGAGAGAGAGAGAGAGAGAGAGAGAGAGAGAGAGAGAGAGAGAGAGAGAGAGAGAGAGAGAGAGAGAGAGAGAGAGAGAGAGAGAGACACACACACAACAAACATACACATATAAACCTCAAAACAGTTTAGTATATAAGCTCAACACTCACGTCAACAGTGACGCCGGGAGTATTGAAGGTCGTCTTTGGATTTTGCATCTTGAATAGATATCTGAAAAGGAATAAGACCTCTGTGTTATTCATAAGGATGTATAAGTATTAACAAACCTGCGGAAGGCCTAGGCTAGGCTGCTCCTATTTATATGCGAAACAAATGGGCAGAGTTTCTTTCACTTTGATGCCCCTGTTCACCTAGCAGTAAATAGGTACCTGGGAGTTAGTCAGCTGCTACGGCCTGCTTTCTGGAGGGGGGTAACAAAAAAGGAGACCTGGTCGAGGACCGGGCCGCGGGGACGCTAAGCCCCGAAATCATCTCAAGGTAACCTCAAGAAGATGATGGTTATTGACATGGGTGATGCTGGAAGTCCCCAACCACTTCATCTTCCAGACTATGTGAAGGCTCGTATGATGGTTATCTTAAGATGATTTCGGGGCTTTGCGTCCCCGCGGCCCGGTCCTCGACCAGGGCCTCCTTTTTGTTAAACACACCCCCGAGGAAGCAGCCCGTAGCACTAGCTGTCTAACTCCCAGGTACCTATTTACTGCTAGGTAGCAGGAGCATCAGGGTGAAAGAAACTATGCCCATTTGTTTCCGCCTCCACCAGGGATCGAACCCGAAACCTCAGGATTACGAATCCCGAGCGCTGTCCACTCAGCTGTCAGGCCCCTTATAATCAACCCGTCCTCCTAATAGAACGTCGTATTTTGACGCATACTTAAGGCGTCAACCTGAAATCTTGACCTAAAATCGTCGTATTACAAAGTAACAGCGGCACGCAAAATTGACATGTTGTCCTGTTTTCTGTTTTGGGACCTCTGGTAGGTTAGTATAAGGGGGCACTTTAGTACGTCAGTTTCTTGACGTTGGGAAGAAATATATATATATATATATATATATATATATATATATATATATATATATATATATATATATATATATATATATATATATTGAATATAAATACAATCCACCATTACACAGAAAATCACAATAGCGTGATGCATCAAATGAACAAATTTGTTCATTACAATCTAGCATTTCTGTCAATGGACGCCTGAATTCATTTTAAGTTCATAAATATTCTCTACAGTACTTGGGATTACATTGCTCTCATTACAACGCGTATTTTTAATTGGCCGAGTAAGCGTACTCTGATTTATATTTCGCAGGTGTGATCTGATTTATATTGTACAGGTGTAACCTGATTTATAGAACACAGGTGTAACCTGATTTATATTGCACAGGTGTACTCTGATTTATATTGCACATAACTGTAGTTGCAAGCTGAGTGTGCGTGTGTGTGTGTGTGCACGTCCTTGTGTGTGCGTTTGTAAGTGTGTGTGTGTGTGTGTGTGTGTGTGTGTGTGTGTGTGTGTGTGTGTGTGTGTGTGTGTGTGTGCGTGTGTGTGTGTGTTTAAGTTCGGACACAATATAATCAAGTTACTCTTATCTCGCGTCCTTAATATATCTCCTGTATCATTCATATTTTATTGTATAATTCACCTGCAAATTAAACGTATTACTAGATCATGAATTATACATTGTTTTGTATCGTTAACTGTATCGTTGAACACGGGTTCGTTAATTGTGTAGAGGGAGGAATTATTTTAAACGAAGCTATTCAAGTTGAAACGCTAGTTAAATGCAGTTGAAGAATGTTAGTTTGTTAAACGTGAAAAGGTGATGATTCTGTTAGTTAATAATCCTTTAGGTCTATAATCTACCAGGAACAGTGAGGTCTATAATCTGCCAGCATCATTAGGGTGGATAATCTTCCAGGATCATTTAGGACTATTAACTAAACGGATGACGGTCTATAATCTACCAGGATCATTGAGGTCAATAATCTACCAGGTACATTGAGGTCCTGGTAGAACATTGAGGTCTATAATCTACCAGGAACATTGAGGTCTATAATCTACCAGGAACTTTGAGGTCTATAATCTACCAGCATCTTTAAGGTCTATAATCTACCAGTGAGCAGTGTGGCATGAGACTGCGGAATGCTTTGTCAGCGACTGAAGGGGGGAGGGAATTAACAGGGGGGAAAGCGCCAAGACCGTACGAGTATATAGCACTGGGAAGGGATCAGGATAAGGACTAGGGATGGGACGGGGGAAAGGAATGGTGCCCAACCACTTATGGACGGTCGGGGGATTGAACGCTGACCCGCATGAAGCGAGACCGTCGCTCTACCGTCCAGCCCGAGTGGTTGGGCGAATAAAAATTTGTGTTTTGGACCTTGGTAGATTTTTTTGGACGCTACTCATTAATGAGATAAGATTATAGACGTTTTATTGACCTTATAGGCCTGTAATCCTGGCAGGTTAGAGACCTTAGCCTCCTTAACACTAATCAGTAAGATCAAATCCTTCTCACCTGTAGAACTCGCGATCGTCTTTGTACCACTTAACAGAGTAGAGAGGATCCGAACCCCTGTCATAACGGCACTTTAACTCGGCATCCTCCCCTCGGAACTTGTATACGGGAACCTCAATCCCGTGTAGCGTGAGGTGACCATTGCCCTTGTTGTGGTCGTCTGTGTCCTCCGAGGCCATCACGCCGTGGCTCCTGGAGGAGGACGAGGAGGACGAGGAAGAAGGGTAGAAGGAGGAGAAGGACCCTCTGGGTACGTCCCGGATCCGGTGAAGTTGAGGTCCTCCTTGATATGTTGACATGGCTGTACACAGTCGCGTCTGACCTGTAAAGGGGGAGAGAGAGAGAGACAGTGTTTGTAATTGTTAGTGATTCTTTGTGGTTTGTACTTATTGGGAGAAGGGGGGTCAGTGCCCCCCTGAGGTCGGAACCCTCTGAGGTTACAACCCTTAGTGTCGGTTCCGCTAGATATATAAGATGGGAAAGCAAAATCAGTATATATATATATATATATATATATATATATATATATATATATATATATATATATATATATATATATTGAGAGGGAAGGAAGGGGGGGAGAGATGAACAATTGCATTGGGGGGGGGGGGGGTAGGGTTCGCATTTATTTCAAACGTTAATTGAGCTGTTATATTTACTTTAAAATTGTAACATGTGGGCCCCTCTCAACTAATGACCGCGCAGTGTGCAACTCACCACCAATCACAGTACAGCTTGGGTATGTGCCGCTGAGCAACCTAACCTAACTACCGACTGTGATTGGGCAGTATTCCCCCCCCCCCCTGCCTGTGCGCCCGTGACACTCACATTAAATACCAGCATTTGGATATGAGCGAGCGCAAGGGCTGTGTCGTGAAGAATCAGAGAACCTTTTGCTGGCTCCGTGCTTGTCCTTGTCACACACACACACACACACACACACACACACACACACACACACACACACACACACACACACACACACACACACACACACACACACACACATCAGAAGATGAAGGAACGACGATGTTTCGGTCCGTCCTGGACCATTATGTAGTGTGTGTACTCGCCCGTGTTATGTACTCTTAGTGTAAACGAATGTGTCGAAGCTGCATAGTCGTTGTTTTAGCTCCAGCTACTGGGAGCCAAAAGTTCCAAGTAGCACGGGCTATGGAGATCCCGTAGTGGACTGACCTGGCACAGGAGCGGGGCTGTGACTGGTGAGTGGCTGGCCAACAGTCTTTTTACCAGTCGGATACGTACAGGTGAGGTCTTTGTGCTACTCATAAGTATTGCTAATATTGTTATTAAAACCGCTCCTATGCCAGGTAAGTTACGGGCTCACCATAGTCCGTGCTACTTAGAACTTGTTCCGAGTAGCTGAATCTATAACAAGAATAATGTTCTTCAACACGAATACCAGGTGTTCACTCTCAGGAGACGTCATGAACTCAGTTGGTTTATGCCAGGTGGGCATAAATTTGTAGATGCTGTTGCTGTTGTACATTAGCTACCTGGAACAAAAATTTCCAAGTAGCACGGGCTATGGTGACCCCGTAATTTATAGGTGATTTTGTAGATGAGGTCATCAGAAGGAAGGCTGTCCGCCATCTTCTCATCTAATAGGTCTCTTTTTTTAGGGGAATTGCTAAATCCATTAAAAATATGACCTATTATTTTCATTTAAATCTCTATTATAATGATGTTTTCCGCACATTATAGTCTCAATAGGTTGTAGGTCGGTTGAGTAGACTCATACAGTTGTGGGTAGGTAAAACAGTTGTGTTTTTAACGGAGTTGTACATCGGGAACACTGGCTGTGTCAAGCCTCGCGGTATTCACGTTTTTTTTGTATGTGCTTTACTAGGTAAATGTTTTTGCCCCAGCGCTGCATACTCTAACTTTGGTCTCATGTTTGGTGTTCACAATGATTTCTTTTTTCAGATTCCCGGATGTATAGTTGCAATATCACCATCTTTATGTATAAGACCTGATTTTATCCAATTTTTTGCGTGTTTCTGGGGACGGGTTAGGTAATGGGCACCCTTAGGAACCCCCCCCCTCCTCCCCCGCTCCCCATTAGTTGAAATAAGCTCTTTCTAGCTTATTTTCTATTATCTTATTATTCTCCCATTTTTGTAACTTGCGTTCGTTGGACTGAACATTATAAATTCTGTAGATTTTATATCCTAATGTAGTTCAATTCTCGTTTTTCCTCATGATGGCTGTCTGTTGCATATCTGTTAGGTATTCTCTTATCCGTTGGAGTGCCCCTCCGCGTCCTGGGAACACAAACCGAAACTGTCTCTATTTTCCGCTTGTTACAACTTGTAAAAAAGTTGTTACATCTTGGCTTAATGTGTTTATGACGTATTAGAACATTGTTATAACTTGCTATATTGGTTGTTATAACTGGTTAGGAAGTGTTAAAACTTGTTCGAACGTTGTACCAACATCGTAGTTTCGGTGTGTGTTTGGCGGGCGGTTACTTGTACCTTGCTTAATTGCTTGGGCACACATTGGCCTCCTGTAGAGGGCCTTGTCTACCCATCCTTACATGTGTAGGTTAAGCTGAATTATCCTGTTGCAGAACTCTACTGCAGGATTTATGAAAACGTTGTATGTATCTTAATATTTGGGGATTTTGTTACCAAATGTATACCGCGTTTAGCTTACAAACTGTTGACTTTAGTTACAAAATATATCCGGGCTTTTTGTACAAGCTACGGTGACTTTACTTGCAATATGTAGTCTGGTTTTTGTTGCAAACTTTATGTTGACTTTAGTTATATGAGGTATGTTAAGTTTTGTTACTAAGTACTTTCTAGATTCTCTTACACAATGCATGCTGACTTTATTCTCAAAATCTTGCTGTCTCTCTCTCTCTCTTTCTCTCTCTCTCTCTCTCTCTCTCTCTCTCTCTCTCTCTCTCTCTCTCTCTCTCTCTCTCTCTCTCTCTCTCTCTCTCTCTCTCTCTCTCTCTCTCCCCCAATAAACAGCCTCCTTTTGCTTTCGCATCACTACGACAAACTTGATACCACTTAAAATAAAGTGTGATTTAACCTTGTGGTGACAAAAGCGTGCTAACCCACGTTCTTCTGTGTAAAGGGGACATTTGATCTCCATTAGAGCGGGGGAACGGGAGGTAAGTGAAGGTAATCCCACCCTTAGGTCGAATCTACGATTCCTGTGTCGAGGCGCAGTTGGAATAAAGAGAATGGCAATTATAATGGGTAATTAATGAGTGATTAACCTGGGCAAAATAAAATGGTCGCTAAGCACTTGGTTTAAGTCTGTCTGTCTGTCTCTCTCTCTCTCTCTCTCTCTCTCTCTCTCTCTCTCTCTCTCTCTCTCTCTCTCTCTCTCTCTCTCTCTCTCTCTCTCTCTCTCTCTCTACATCTCTTTCCTCTGTCTCCACATGTTTCTCCTTCCTCTTCACGGTCTCTACATTCATATTTCTCATTCTCTCCTTTTTATTCCTTCCTTCACTATTGTGTATGTCCGTATTTATCACTCTCTGCCACTTACGTTTGCTTCTTGGTGGGGCAGGACGGAAGATGGGGGAGAGGGGGATTGCCAAGAGCAGACTGTGGTGGTCAACCACAACCCACCACCACCACCACAACTACAACCACCACCACCAACATGATGAATAGCCCAAAGACAGCAGTATAAGAATCATCTCCTTCATCAATAAGATGAACACACACATATAATCCTGTCATCAAAACCTTGTATTCCACGTATGTCAGACCAATCCTGGAGTATGCAGCTCCAGCATGGAGTCCCTATCTCGTCAAGCATTAACTAAATTGGAGAAGGTTCAGAGGTGTGCCACCAGACTAGTGCCCGAACTGAGAGGCATGATCTATGAGGAGAGACTACGGGATTAAACCTCACGTCGCTGGAAGGCAGGAGAGTTAGGGAGGACATGATCAGAATATACAAGATTATCAAAGGAATTGATAGAGTAGATAAAGACAGTTTATTTAATACAAGGGGAACACGTACTACAGGGACACAGGTAGAAATTGAGTGCCCTAATGAGCCATACAGACATTAAAAAGAATTTTGTTAGTGTCAGAATAGTTAACAAATGGAATGCATTAGGAAGTAATGTGGTGGAGGATGACTCCATACACAGTTTCAAGTGTAGATATGATAGAGCCCAATAGGCTCAGGAATCTGTACACCAGTTGATTGACAGTTGAGAGGCGGGTCCAAAGAGCCGAAGCTCAACCCCCGCAAGCACAACTAGGTAAGTACAACAAGATGAGTACACACACACACACACACACACACACACACACACACACACACACAGAAGAGGCATCGTAGCCTGGTGGATAGCGCGCAGGACTCGTAATTCTGTGGCGCGGGTTCGATTCCCGCACGAGGCAGAAACAAATGGGCAAAGTTTCTTTCACCCTAAGTGCCCCTGTTACCTAGCAGTAAATAGGTACCTGGGAGTTAGTCAGCTGTCACGGGCTGCTTCCTGGGGTGTGTGTGTGTGGTGGTGTGGAAAAAAAAAAAAAAAAAAAAGTAGTTAGTAAACAGTTGATTGACAGTTGAGAGGCGGGCCGAAAGAGCAAAGCTCAACCCCCGCAAAAACACAACTAGTAAACACAACTAGTAAACACACACACACATGAAGAAATCCTCGCATCAGGACGAAACTTTCTAGAAATCCTCCCATCAGGTAAAAAATTTGAAAAAATCCTCCCATCAGGACGAAAATTTGAAGAAATCCTCCCATCAGGAGGAAAATTTGAAGAAATCCTCCCATCAGGACGAAAATTTGAAGAAATCCTCCCATCAGGACGAAAATTTGAAGAAATCCTCCCATCAGGACGAAAATTTGAAGAAATCCTACTCTTGAGAGAAATGTCTGAAGTGATCTTACCATGAAGACTAAAATCTTCCACCTTTACTCTCTAATAATTGTAGCATTTTCTTAATATTTCGTCCTAAATACATGCATGTTGCATGTCCCGTGTCTTAGTGGGCTTCGTGGAGACAACACAGCACTCATTCGCTTATATTTACGCGTCCCTAATTACACCAAGTTTAAATATAATTACAATTATATACAGGTCATAAATCAAAAGTACGTTCAGTATATTTCAGGGAGAGAAAGAGAGGAAAAGATAATTTGCACGTGAGTTAAGTCTTACTGGCGATGGAAATGTTGGAGAGTAAACACAGCTCAGGAAAGAAGTAGCACATACACACACATGCACTCACACACGCACGCACTCACTCACGCACACACTCACACACACACATACACAGTAACATATAACATTCTAGGAGTCATTA